ATAAGAAGTCTGTTATGACAGTATACATTTTTGGCCCTGCTTTAAAATATGTTCAGCTTATGAAGGCTTCATAAATCCTTCATAAAGCCTTCATAAGCACTACATAAATGCGTTACAAAGCATCTATAACCATATGCCATGCTTTATAAAGGGTTCATAAATGTGGCATAACTGTGTGACATAATCACCAATGTCAAATGTGACATAACCCATCATAGTACCCTCCAAGCTCATCATTAAGCTTGAGGCCCTGGGTCTGAACTCCGCCCTGTGCAACTGGGTCCTGGACTTCTTGATGGGCCAATCCCAGGTGGTGAAGGTAGGAAACAACATCTCCACTTCGCTGATCCTCAACACCCACAAGGGCTGTTGGCTTGGCACCTAAAACCCTCACAAACTTTTACAGATGCACAATTGAGAGCATCCTGTCGGGCTGTATCACCGCCTGGTACGGCAACTGCACTGCCCGCAACCGCAGGGCTCTCCAGAGGGTGGTGCGGTCTGCCAAACGCATTACTGGGGGCAAACATATGCCCTCCAGGACACCTACAGCACCCGATGTCACAGGCAGGAAGGCCAAAAAGATCATCAAGGACATCAACCACCCGAGCCACTGCCTGTTCACCCCGCTATCATCCAGAAGGTGAGGTCAGTACAGGTGCATCAAAGCTGGGACCGAGAGAATGAAAAACAGCTTATATCTCAAGGCCATCAGACTGTTAAATAGCCATCACTAGCACATTAGAGGCTGCTGCTGCCTATTGAAATCACTGGCCACTTTAAGAAATGGAACACTAGTCACTTTAATAATGTTTACATATCTTGCATTACTCATCTTATATGTATATACTGTATTCTATAATATTCTACTGTATCTTAGTCCATGCTGCTGTCATTGCTTGTCCAAATATGTATATATTCTTAAATTCCATTCCTTACTTAGATTTGTGTGTATTGGGTATATGTTGTGAAATTGTTAGATATTACTTGTTAGATATTACTGCACTGTCGGAGCTAGAAGCACAAGCATTTCGCTACACCCGCAATAACATCTGCTAAACACGTGTATGTGACAAATAACATTTGATTTGATTTGATGTACATGGTGCTGTATATTAATTTAACTAATATAGCTACATGGGTTTTAACTAGAAACATTCTTTGTTAGTTTACAATTGTACAATTTATACACCAAGCATATAAAAACCCTGAAGACTGCTGGAAAGCTCAGAGTGCAAGATTGTAATTTTTATGACTCACACAGTGGAGGAACATATTGCCTGGAGCCTGCTGTACATGGTAACCTGGTGCGCAGCAAGTGGCACTTCACTTATTAGTATGGAATTGGCTGTGAGGATTTTTCTACAATATTCACAACATATTGACACAATTACAATCTTTATATAATAAAAATGTCATTAATAACATGTGGAAAAACATATTTGAGTGAACATTAGCAAGCCAGCAGTAGGTGAAACAGAAAGTGAATTCTCTCCTCCCTCTGATAGCTTGTAGCTATCACTGTCTAGGTCTAGGATATTTACTAGCCCATACCAGTGACATACTTAGCTATGTTATCGCCATATGGCAGTACACAAACGGTCACTGAAAGGTATCTACCTCTCTTGATATACTAATGTCCGTCCCTCAGACAGCTTTGCTCCTATTCATCATCTCTCACTTTTACATTTCGAATTCTTACTCCTGCTTTTTCTTGCTGTGACTATTGCTCTGTATCTTGCTCTCTCTCTGTGTCTAACATTTGACTATGCTGGCATAAATAAGGTACTGTGTTATCAGGGATCTGGGAATGTCTCAGTTAGAGTTGGTTGGTTTTGAATGGATTAGAATACCAGGTTAGATATTCAACAGAATTCCTCTGTTCTACAGTTGCAACACTTTTTGCTTTTTTTTTTTCTAGTCAACAGACACACCATTCTGTTTGGAATTCTCTCTTTGTCTTTGTAACTTACCCTAACAATAGTACTATAACAAATGTTATGCAACAATAGTATACGCATGCACTTGGCACACCTTTTCTATGTATGACAGACCACATTGTCTGTCAGTAGGGCCTGACTACTTTAGGGGTGGGACAGAGGAGAGGTAAAAAACAACCACACACAGCTGTGTTCTCTTATGTTTACACCTGACACAGCAAGACAGCAGCCATTCCTGAACTAAACTGACAGAGGTAAGGATCATTTAATAGGATTTGATTTTAATGTCCAGGTAGCAGATAATGGACCTTATCTGACATTTATGTAGTTGGTGCTGTATATTAATTTAACTAATATAAATGGGTTCTAACTTGAAAAATTATTTGTTAGTTTAGAATTGTACAAATTATGCAACTCGCATATAAAAACCCTGAAAACTGCTGGAAAGCCCCGAACGCAAGATTGTAATTTTTATGACTCACACATTGGAGGAACATATTGCCTGGAGCCTGCTGTACATGGTAACCTGGTGCGCAGCAAGTGGCACTTCACTTATTAGTATGGAATTGGCTGTGAGGATTTTTCTACAATATTCACAACATATTGACACAATTACAATCTTTATATAATCCAAATCTTATTTCAGCAATAATGTGGAAAAACATTTGAGTGAATGCTAGCAAGCCAACAGCAGATGAAACAGAAAGTGAATTCTCTCCTCCCTCTCTCCCCAGTTTTAGCTTGCGGATATCACTGTCTAACTGGCTAGTTTAGGATATTTACTAGCCCATACCAGTGACAAACTTAGCTACCACTGAACAAAAATATATAGCAACATGTAAAGTGTTGGTCCCATGTTTCATGAGCTGAAATAAAACAGTCCAGAAATTTTCCATACGCACAAAAAGCTTCTTTCTCATAAATGTTGTGCACAAATGCGTTTACATCCCTGTTAGTGAACATTTCTCCTTTGCCAAGATAATCCATCTACCTGTCAGGTGTGGCATATCAAGAAGCTGATTAAACAGCATGATCATTACACAGGTGCACCATGTGCTGGGGACAATAAAAGCGTCCACTGAATGAAATGTATGTAATGTAAAGAGAATTGCAAAAGTTATTGCTCTATTCTAATTCAATGTAATTTGCCAAATGTGGCCATTTCTGTTAAGCCAATGTCAGGAAAGCTGCACATTGCTGGAAAGAAATGGCATTTTCATATTCTGCATGCTCATAGTTTAACAATTCCCTCTTTGTTTGAATAGCATAAGCTCTGAATTCATTATTGTAATATGTTGTCATTCCCAACATCAAATCTTTTAAAATCATTGTAGTGTTGGGAACAGAAGTAGGGGCCACATTATATCTGATGGCAGGCCACAAATGGTCATTGAAAGGTACACTACATGATCAAAAGTATGTATGGGCATTAACACCCTCCACTCTTCTGGGAAGGCTTTCCACTAGATGTTGAAACATTGCTGCGGGGACTTGCTGCCATTCCGCCACAAGAGCATTAGTGAGGTCGGGCACTGATGTTGGGCAATTATGCCTGGCTCGCAGTCGGCGTTCCAATTCATCCCAAAGGTGTTCGATGGGGTTGAGGTCAGGGCTCTGTGCATGCCAGTCAAGTTCTTCCACAATGATCTCGACAAACCATTTCTGTATGGACCTCGCTTTGTGCAAGGGGGCATTGCCATGCTGAAACAGGAAAGGGCCTTCCCCAAACTGTTGCCACAAAGTTGGAAGCACAGAATCATCTAGAATGTCATTGTATGCTGTAGTGTTAAGATTTCCCTCCACTGGAACTAAGGGGCCTAGCCCGAACCATGAAAAACAGCCCCAGAGCATTATTTCTCCTCCATCAAACTTTACATTTGGCACTATGCATTCGGGCAGGTAGCGTTCTCCTGGCATCTACCATACCTAGATTCATCCGTCGGATTGCCAGATGGTGAAGCGTGAATCATCACTCCAGAGAGCGCGTTTCCACTGCTCCAGAGTCCAATGGCGGCGAGATTTACACCACTCCAGCCGACGCTTGGCATTGCGCATGATGATCTTAGGCTTGTGTGTGACTGCTTGGCCATGGAAACCCATTTCATGAAGCTCCCGACGAACAGTTCTTGTGCTGATGTTGCTTCCAGAGGAAGTTTGGAACTCGGTAGTGAGTGTTGCAACCGAGGACAGACATTTTTTACGTGCTACCAACTTCAGGACTCGGTGGTCCCGTTCTGTGAGCTTGTGTGGCCTACCACTTTGCGGCTGAGCTGTTGTTGCTCCGAGACGTTTCCACTTCACAATATCAGCACTTACAGTTGACCGGGGCTGCTCTAGCAGGGCAGAAATTTGACAAACTGACTTGTTGGAAAAGTGGCATCCTATGACGGTGCCACATTGAAAGTCACTGAGCTCTTCAGTAAGGCCATTCCACTGTCAGTGTTTGTCTATGGAGATTGCATGGCGATGTGCTCGATTTTATACACATTATCTCAAATTCCTACTCTTGCTTTTTCTTGCTGTGACACTTGCTCTGTATCTTGCTGTGTCTCTATGTCTAATATATATTGATACTATGACAATGAATGACAAATGGATGACACATAACACAGCATGTGACTTTTTTGTTCCTGTGTAGAGTTTGACATTATTTGACTGTGCTGGCATAAATAGGCTACTGTGCTATCAGGGATTTGGGAATGCCTCAGAGTTGGTTGGCTTTGAATGGATTAAAATAACAGCTTAGATTTTCACCAGAATTTCCACCTTACTATGTGAGAAACTGTCTGTAGAATTCCTCTGTTCTACAGTTGGAGCACTGTTTGCTTTAGTTTGTAGTCAACAGACACACCCTTCTCACCCACCTCATTATCATCTTCTTTGGAATTTCACTTTGTCTTTGTAACATTGAGAGAATTGACTCTGTAGGGTGTACTTACCGGTACTTACCTTGACAATAGTACTATAACAAATGCTATGCAGAGGTGAATGCTTTAGTCGTTTTTGGTCACAATTTTTCACATTTCTTTCGGATCTTGACCACTTTCCACCAAACCCCCTAGATGGATTATTCCACCAAAACTCTTGCTGCTGGCTGCTTTGGGAAGATATACAGGGAGAAGTACAATGACACCTGGGCTGCAATCAAGAAGGTGCCACAACACTTAATCAATAGGACAGACCTGGAGAGAGAGTGTCAAGTATACAAGTGAGTATGACAGATAATGTGCTATCATGGTATAATAATAATAATGTGCCATTTAGCAGACGCTTTTATCCAAAGCGACTTACAGTCATGCGTGCATACATTTTTTTTTTTGTGTATGGGTGGTCCCGGGGATCGAACCCACTACCTTGTCGTTACAAGCGCCGTGCTCTACCAGCTGAGCTACCAGCTGAGCTAAATGGTGATGATATCAGAGATGGTGTTGATGAGGGTGCTGATGAAGGTCACTACAGAAGTGCTTAGTTGTGCTGTCTGTAGACTCCAATGCCCTCATAACCCTTTCTCTCCATTTTATGTCACACTCTCTCTGTGACCTGGGACTCCAGTAAGGCAATTCATCCTAACATAGTGAAGCTTCTGGGTAATCCAACACTCAAGGACTCTAAGTGGATCATCCCCATGGAGTTCATTTTTGGAGAGGAACTGGAGACAACCATCTTCAAATCACAAAAATCTAAAATACAGGTAGGTCTATGGATCCCACCTCTTCCACCAAACATGCATGCGACAGTGTTGATGAAAGTTCACATAGTAAAACTTTTCTATCTGAAATATCTGCTAAATAAGTATCTAGGCCTACAGGATTTTCAGGGGGCCTTCCCAAAATTATTAAAATATTTCTATGTGCAATTTAGCTCATCAGTTGATAATCAAAGCCTTTGTTCCCCCACAGTTGACTCCATCTATAAAGGCCACCATCATCACAGGCATGTGTGAAGGACTACTTCACCTACACAGCAAAGATATCGTCCATCAGGACCTCAAGCCTGACAACATCATGGTGAGAAAGGCAATAAAGTTGTTTTTGTTGTTCTGATGTTCTTCATTAATGATGCAAGACTTTAGAAGCAGTTGTTCATCTGTTGTTGGGAGTAAAGGACATTATCACTGTAAATAAATAGACTAGATACAGTATAAAACGAAATTTCTCCACCCCTCTCAAATGATCTCTTCCAGGTAGAGCATGGCACTCACCGAGCTGTGATCATTGATATGGGACTGGCCAAATTCTTCCGCAATGGCCTAAATTCTGCCATGGATATGGGCAACGAGGCTTACTCTCCCCCTGAGGTCCTGCAGAGGAGGGGCCAGCGAGATCAGCGCTCAGACGTGTGGGCTATGGGTAAAATCATTGCCGAACTTTATGCCAGAGTCAGGCTGCACACCCCCAGCGTCTGTCCAACTAAGATCCAGGAGACCCTCAGACTCCAAGGCCAGCAGTACTGTAATGCTGTCTGTAGGATGGTGCAGAGCGACCCCACAGTGCGAGCCACCATGGCCGGGATCATGCCAGAGATACGAAGGGCAGGGGGAGGTGGCAACACCGGGGAGAAACAAAGAGGACATCTTCTGACACCCTTTCCTCACACTGAGGTAAAAGACACCTTGCCACATCCTCAAGCTCCTGTACAGCACTCACTTTCTCCGAGATTTGAGCGTGCAGCTTTTCCAAAGCCTGAGGTCAAGACAACACTAAGTCCTCAAGCTCCTGTACAGCGTTCACCATCTCCATCGAGATTTGGGCGCAATGCTTTACCAAGGCCTGAGGCCAAGACGCTAGTGGGATCTCCTGTGAGAGCGCCTTCTCGATCCAGATGGGAGCCTACAGCTTCTCCAAAGCCTGAGGTCAAGACGCTAGTGCGAGCTCCTGTTCGAGCGCCTTCTCCATCGAGATGGGAGCGTGCAGCCTTGCCAAAGACTGAGGTCAAGACTGAGGTCAAGACAACACTGCAACCACAACCTGTACAGCGGTCACCTTCCCCATCAAGATGGGAGTGGGCAGCCTCTCCAAAGCCTGAAGTCAAGAACTCACCGTCTCCCCATCCAAAGGTAGACCAGTGTAATGCATTGGTTCCATCAGGCATGGCTCAACCCAGTCAAGATGTCATGAAACAGCTTCTCTACAAAGAGGCGTCGAAGGGTCTCCCATGCCCACTCCCCACAACGGGCAAGGTGCGAATCCGCCGCTATGAGCAAAGAAATGGTGAAGTGGAGACTTGGGAGCAAAAGGAGGTGGAGACTGAAGGAGGGAGGATAGTCAAGTTTGAGGATGTGATGTTTAACAACAAGTCGTAAGAAGGTTATTGAGAGGTTGTGAAATAGTTGAGAGTTGATTGGACTCTGCTACTCCAGAGGGTGGGTCACTCCCCTTCCATCCTTCATTGTAAAAATCTGACATGTTTATGGAGAGGGGGAAGAGTATATTTGGGAAGGGGGATAAACTAATAAAATAATTATAATGTCCAGTGAAACTATACTGGACGCACCCTACAATAAAGTGAAACAATATTTACTACGGTAGACAACATTTATATACTGCATACACTACCGGTCAAAAGTTTTAGAACACCTACTCATTCAAGGGTTTTTCTTTATTTTTACTATTTTCTACATTGTAGAATAATAGTGAAGAAATCAAAACTATGAAATAACACATATGGAATCATGTAGTAACCAAAAAAGTGTTAAACAAATCAAAATATATTTTATATTTGAGATTCTTCAAATAGCCACCCTTTGCCTTGATGACAGCTTTGCACGCTCTTGGCATTCTCTCAACCAGCTTCATGAGGTAGTCACCTGGAATGCATTTCAATTAACAGGTGTGTCTTCTGAAAAGTTAATTTGTGGAATTTCAGTTGTGTTGTGACAAGGTAGGGGAGGTATACAGAAGATAGCTGTCACGATCGTCTTGGAAAGGAGTAGACCAAAGCGCAGCGTGTTGCACGAACATGATGCTTTATTTAATTAAAGCGAAACACGAGACAACAAAACAAATAACGATTCGTGAAGTACACAGTGACAATGACTGACAAGGAACAAAAACCCACAAACACAAGGTGAAAACAGACAGTTTAAATATGGCTCCCAATCAGAGACAACCAGCACACAGCTGACACTCGTAGCCTCTGATTGGGAGTCATTCATTCAAACATAGAAATGAACCCAACAGAAATACCAACATAGAAATACACCCAATGAATGAACACACCCTGGCTCAACATACAGAGTCCCGGAGCCAGAGCGTGACAGTACCCCCCCTAAAGGCGCAGACTGCGACCGCGCCTCAATAAGGGCTAAACAAGGGAGGGCTGGGTGGGCATACCTCCTCGGCGGTGGCTCTGGCTCCGGCCTTGATCCCCACTTCCTCTCCAACCCCCCAAAGTACCCCTGGTCCTGTCTAGCCCCGCTGGCCGGAGCCGGACTGACGACACGCGCCCCTGGCTTGGTGCGTGGAACAGGAACGGACCGGACCGGGCTGACGATACACACCCCTGGCTTGGTGCGTGGAGCAGGAATGGACCGGAATGGGCTGTCGACGCGCACCACAGACTTGGTGCGGAGAGCAGGAACGAGCCGGACAGGGCTGACGACGCACCCCGTAGGCTTGGTGCGTGGAGCAGGAACAGGCCGGGCAGGGTTGGCGACGCACACCGTAGACTTGGTGCGTGGAGCAGGAACAGGCCGGGCAGGGCTGTCGACGCACACCGTAGACTTGGTGCGTGGAGCAGGAACAGGCCGGGCAGGGCTGTCGACGCACACCGTAGACTTGGTGCGTGGAGCAGGAACAGGCCGGGCAGGGCTGTCGACGCACACCGTAGCCTTGGTGCGTGGAGCAGGAACAGGTCGGACAGGGCTGGCGACGCACACCGTAGGCCGGGTGCGTGGAGCAGGGACAGGCCGGACCGGGCTATGGAGACGGATAGGAGACCTGGAGTGAAGAGCTGCCACAACCCGTCCTGGCTGAATGCCTACCTTCACACACTCTGTGTGAGGCATCAGCACAGGACGTACAGGGCTGTGTACCCGTACTGGCATAACAGCACGTGATACTGGCGCAGGATATCCGGGACCGAGGAGAGGCACTGGAGGCCCCGAGCGCTGAGCCAGCACACTCCGTCCTGGCTGCATGCCCACCTTCGCACAACACGTGCGGGGTGCTCGCACAGGACGTACCGGACTATGCCGGACCACTCGTGGCACAGTGTGCAGCTCCGCATACCGCGGAACCTGCCCAGTCTCATGCTGCCATGCCTGAGTACGGGGAGTTGGCTCTGCTCTCCATCCAGGCTCCGCCAACCTGCCTTCTGGCCCCCAAAACCCGGTGGCCTTCTCTCCTCTTCTCCTATTTCGCCCTGTGGCAGCCTCCTGCTGCCCAGTCGCCCATGCCGTGTGCCCCCCCCCTAAAAAATTATTGGGGGTGCCTCTCGTCCGTCCGACGATGGCACTGCTGACGCCGCTGCTCATCTCCTGCCTGGGTCTCCCCCTTCATAGCCCTCCGGTACCGGACGGCCTCCTCCTCGGTAATCTGCCCCCAACCGAGGAGGACATCCACCAGAGTCACCTCCTGCGTGTGTTCCTGGACACGCTGCTTGGTCGTTGTATGGTGGGTTTTTCTGTCACGATCGTCTTGGAAAGGAGTAGACCAAAGCGCAGCGTGTTGCACGAACATGATGCTTTATTTAATTAAAGCGAAACACGAAACAACAAAACAAATAACGATTCGTGAAGTCCACAGTGACAATGACTGACAAGGAACAAAAACCCACAAACACAAGGTGAAAACAGACAGTTTAAATATGGCTCCCAATCAGAGACAACCAGCACACAGCTGACACTCGTAGCCTCTGATTGGGAGTCATTCATTCAAACATAGAAATGAACCCAACAGAAATACCAACATAGAAATACACCCAATGAATGAACACACCCTGGCTCAACATACAGAGTCCCGGAGCCAAAGCGTGACAATAGCCCTATTTGGTAAAAGTCCAAGTCCATATTATGGCAAGAACAGCTCAAATAAGCAAAGAGAAACGACAGTCCATCATTACATTAAGACATGAAGGTTAGTCAATACAGAAACTTTGAAAGTAGGATAAGTTCATTAGAGTTACCAGCCTCTGAAATTGCAGCCCAAATAAATGCTTCACAGAGTTCAAGTAACAGACACATCTCAACATCAACTGTTCAAAGGAGACTGTGTAAATCAGGCGTTCATGGTCGAACTGCTGCAAAGAAACCATTACTAAAGGACACCAACAAGAAGAAGAGACTTGCTTGGGCCAAGAAACATGAGCAATGGACATTAGACCGGTGGAAAGTTGTCCTTTGGTCTGGAGTCCAAATTGGAGATTATTGGTTCCAATCGCCGTGTTTTTGTGAGACACAGTGTGGGTAAACGGATGATCTCCGCATGTGTATTTCCTTCAAGGCTGTTGGAAAAGCATTCCAGGTGAAGCTGGTTGAGATAATTCCAAGAGTGTGCAAAGCTGTCATCAAGGCAAAGGGTGGTTATTTAAAGAATCTCAAATATAAAATATATTTTTATTTGTTTAACACTTTTTTGGTTACTACATGATTCCACTTTTGACTGGTAGTGTATATATACAGTGAGGGAAAAAAAGTATTTGATCCCCTGCTGATTTTTTATGTTTGCCCACTGACAAAGAAATGCTCCTAATCTCAGCTTGTTACCTATATAAAAGACACCTGTCCACAGAAGCAATCAATCAATCAGATTCCAAACTCTCCACCATGGCCAAGACCAAAGAGCTCTCCAAGGATGTCAGGGACAAGATTGTAGACCTACACAAGACTGGAATGGGCTACAAGACCATCGCCGAGCAGCTTGGTGAGAAGGTGACAACAGTTGGTGCGATTATTCGCAAATGGAAGAAACACAAAAGAACTGTCAATCTCCCTCGGTCTGGGGCTCCATGCAAGATCTCACCTCGTGGAGTTGCAATGATCATGAGAACGGTGAGGAATCAGCCCAGAACTACACGGGAGGATCTTGTCAATGATCTTAAGGCTGCTGGGACCATAGTCAACAAGAAAACAATTGGTAACACACTACGCCATGCTCAAGAAAGCACATATACAGGGCCGTCTGAAGTTTGCCAATGAACATCTGAATGATTCAGAGGAGAACTGGGTGAAAGTGTTGTGGTCAGATGAGACCAAAATCGAGCTCTTTGGCATCAACTCAACTCGCCGTGTTTGGAGAAGGAGGAATGCTGCCTATGACCCCAAGAACACCATCCCCACCGTCAAACATGGAGGTGGAAACATTATGCTTTGGGGGTGTTTTTCTGCTAAGGGGACAGGACAACTTCACCGCATCAACGATGGATGGGGCCATGTACCGTCAAATCTTGGGTGAGAACCTCCTTCCCTCAGCCAGGGCATTGAAAATGGGTCGTGAATGGGTATTCCAGCATGACAATGACCCAAAACACACGGCCAAGGCAACAAAGGAGTGGCTCAAGAAGAAGCACATTAAGGTCCTGGAGTGGCCTAGCCAGTCTCAAGACCTTAATCCCATAGAAAATCTGTGGAGGGAGCTGAAGGTTCGAGTTGCCAAACGTCAGCCTCAAAACCTTAATGACTTGGAGAAGATCTGTAAAGAGGAGTGGGACAAAATCCCTCCTGAGATGTGTGCAAACCTGGTGGCCAACTACAAGAAACGTCTGACCTCTGTGATTGCCAACAAGGGTTTTGCCACCAAGTACTAAGTCATGTTTTGCAGAGTGGTCAAATACTTATTTCCCTCATTAAAATTCAAATCAATTTATAACATTTTTGACATGCATTTCTTTGTATTTTTTTGTTGTTATTCTGTCTCTCACTGTTCAAATAAACCTACCATTAAAATTATAGACTGATCATTTCTTTGTCAGTGGGCAAACGTACAAAATCAGCAGGGGATCAAATACTTTTTTCCCTCACTGTATGCTTTCAGTACTAGATTCATTCTCTGATCCTTTGATTGGGTGGACATGTCAGTTCATGCTGTAAGAGCTCTGATAGGTTGGAGAACGTCCTCCGGAAGTCATAATTACTGTGTAAGTCATTGGAAGGGGGTAAAACCATGAGCCTCCTAGGTTTTGTATTGAAGTCAATGAACCCAGAGGAGGATGGAAACTAGCTGTCCTCCGGCTACACCATGGTGCTACCCCAGAGAGTGCTGCTGAGGCTACTGTAGACTTTCATTCTAAAACAGTGTTTTAATCAATTATTTGGTGATGTGAATATATTTAATAAAGTTATATCTAAAAAGGAGACCTTTTTTA